GGTATGAGGGTGTTGGGGGGCGGTTTGGGGGTGTTAGGGGGGTGTATGGGGGTATTTGGGGCGGGTATGGGGGTGTTGGTGGGGTTATAAGGGGTTCTGGAATCTGGACCCTTTTTTTTTCTTTTTTTATTGCAGGTTGCCGACGACCCCCGACTGGTAGGAGCCGACCAGTCAAGGGTCGCCGACCGTCGGGGTGTGCAACACTGGTCCAGGCCCAATTCAGACAGGTGCCTGGGCCGGCAGCAGTTAAGCTTCCCAACTGTGGTATAGGCCTATGCTGTTGACAACACAACTGTGGTAAAGGCCTAAGTGCCCAGACCATGATCTCACAACTCTGATATTGGCCAATATCACACAACTGTGGTATAGGCCTTTACTGTTGACGACACAACCGGAAAACTACAGCAGCTTCCAGAAGAGCTTCAGTGTCTGTGCCCAGGCCCCCAGTTGCTGTTACGGGCCTGGCCCTTCACAGTTAGGCACGCCCAGGTAGCCCACGAGGCTACAAGTGTTCGATGCAATCTCATTGGCTCGTGGCAGATGTGTGACGTCGATACTGCGTGCTCATTGGTCCATGGCCCCTGAGAGACTTGTCGGCCTCTGGTTGTGTGTGCCCATAGCCACAACTGAGTGAGCCCTGGGCTCAACTGTCGCACACAGCAGCTGCTTCCGGAACAAGCCAGGGAAAGGCTCACGTTACCCTGTAACCAACTGGCACGCTGCATCTGTCTGGTACCCCACATGCAGAATTCGACAAAAATAGGCCCCTTGTAAATATTCTGGCCCGCCTTCCCCTAGGGAGGGCACAAGTCTGTACGGGGCCTCAGCCCAGATATGGGGTGAGCCCTAGAAGGGCCACTGCGAAGAGTCAGGCTCGCATTTAGATTCCAACAGCCCTTTTAGCATGATCACACTGGCCTGTACCCAGGCCTTGGCGCATATTGGCAGGCGCGCCTTTGCTTAGGGCGGGCAAGGCCTTTTCCAGCACTGCCGAGGGCACAAGATGAATTGGTCAAAAAAGGCAGAGAGAGATTCACTTGCTTTTTTCTTTTTGTTGCCCGTTGGACCACGGATCAGATACTAAACCACCAGTCTGTTTCCCTGGTACCTTGGTTCGAGGTGCTTGTTAACACTCCACTTGGAGGGAAAGGGCTGGCAGCGCCTGGAAAAATTGTGTGCGCGGCAGTTTGTTTTTTTAGGGTCAGGCGGAACAGTGCATCAGAAAAAAGAGGCTCGGACGGACTGGTGATTTAACGATTGACCCGACCAGAACAGATGCTGCACTTGATCTTAGCCAAAGGCCTAGAAAGGTGTAGAGGTCCACTACCATCTTCACCCGAGTAGAACTGTCTGTAGACTCAATGTTGCCCCAAATACAGCTGCAATGACTTGGTGTTCGATTCCAGTGAAGATGGTAGCCTGTTCTTCTTTCTTTTTGGAGTTAATCAAAGCGATTTTGACAGTGGCATGACCCTGGTCCTCATGTCTGTGTCCGGTGTCTTGTGTCTGGGTCTAATGTCTGGGTCTGGTGGCTGGGTCTAGATGGGTAAGCACGAAGAAAAATGCAAGAAGTAATGCTGCTTGCTTACGTCTGAGTCCCCGGTATGCCAAGTCTCTGCAGGGCTGGGAAACTCTTGGCTCGCATCCTTGGTGGTTCATCCCGTCATGAGGGACAAGGCACTTTCAAAGTGCATCTGAATTTATCGTTCGATGTTCATCCATCACTTGAAGAAAAGGTTGTGACTGTGTGAGTACTGTATTGTTGGACCGGCAAACTTTTTGGTCTGTGACCTGTGAAGGTTGAATCTCTGGCGCTCTGTTTGAGTCTGTTCCATACTTGTGGCGCATAGATGAAGTGCGCTGCGCAGTGGGCTGTGCTGATCGCAGATGCGCAAAGAAGAAGAAGAAGAAGAAGAAGAAGAAGAAGAAGAAGAAGAAGAAGAAGAAGAAGAAGCAACCATGATGTGTGTATAGTACTGTATACACGCTGGAGAGAGAGAGAGAGAGAGAGAGAGAGAGAGAGAGAGAGAGAGAGAGAGAGAGAGAGAGAGAGAG